GAATGATTAGTTGAAAAAAAAAAAAAAAAAAAAAAAAAAGGCAAGATGAACATGGTAAAACAATTTGAAACTAATAGCAGTTCATGTTATCAAATTACGAACAAAATTCATGTGCAAAGAAAAGACTCTACGAACAAACTAATATGTTAAAAGCATATCCCTAACAGCTATGAACATAATAATATAAAGAAGCCATTTTACCTGATTCAGTAACACTGAATCACATTCTCCAAAATTCCAGTTCCCTTATTAGCAATTTATGATCACAAGATTATGCACAAAATGAATGTAGCAGTTTGCCTCAAAATGTTTCCGTTGTCCCTTGCTACTGGGAAGAGCAATTATCTTGATTGATCAAATACCCCAAGGATGTTCCCTTCGGATCTCAACCCTACAGGATGTGTGCAATATGCAGTACAGCTAGGGAAGATATAGACCAACTCTTGCCTCACTCTTCTTCCATCAAGAGATTATGGAACTTCTTCTTGGCTCACTTTGATTCCAATTTGTTTAGGACTGTCATTACATCAAAGGTATTAAAGAAAAGCTAAAGATAGAAAAAAAATAATAATAATAATAATAAATAAATAAAATAAAAGAAGCCTATTCTATACCAGCTTTTTCAATAGATGAGATAACGGGAGCATGCAATTATCAGGGGTGCGCTCTACCACGGAGCTAAATAGCCCATCATGCAGGCCTCTTGCTAGGGTCCGCTATGCCAAAAGCGAGAGAAACCCCATCCCTCCCTTCCTTTTTTCGCCCCCATGTCGCCACACGGGAGGGACATCAAGTCGCAAGTAGGTTTTTTTAACAAAGAAGGAATCCACAACGGAAGCCAAAGATACGCCTTCCGCACGGTTAAGCAGGTAAGCGAAGGCTCTCTCTCTCGCCCTATTAAATGAATTTTTTTAGGGCGGAACTCGAAGTATCATTCTCATTCCATTTTTTTCCTTCCAAAACTTTTTCTCCATTTATCTTTATTCTCTTCATTCTGATTCTAATTCCAAAATAATTTTCGTTAGCACAACTTAGAAATCGTATTCACATTTCACAATTTTCTTTTTGTTGATTTCTACTCTATTCTTCTTAATATCCCATTTCTCGCAAGTAAATAAGACCTTCAATAATTAAGTTCAGTTTCCTAAAGGCCATCCGCTATCAGATCAATCAAACCTGTGCTGGATGGTAGAAGCCCCATGTCCCATGGTAAATACATGTTTTATGGGTTCAATACAATCTTATGAGTTTCGTGGTAAACATAGAAACGGAAGAAAAGAATGATTTAGAGGATTGGATCTCATAAAGGTTAAGAATCTTATAATTACAATCTTGAGGTTTCTATTTTGGCCTCAATTATTATCAANCCCCCCCCCCCCCCCCCCCCCCCCCCCCCCCCCCCCCCACCCCCCAATCTTACGTCCTTACTCTAACTAATTGTACAATATTAATGTCATTTATTCCAAGGTTTTCTTTTTCCTTTTTGGGTAAGAAACCAAGCATCCATTAAGAAATAATGAAAGAAACCAGCCCACAAAAAAGCGAAGGGAGCCCCAAACTAACTAAAAGAAAGACATTAAAGTGGATAAGATGATAAGCAAAAAACTGAAGTAATAAATTGAAATGGTAGAGAGGAAGTTACCTTATCAAAAATACAAATATTCCACATCAGGTAACTGAAATCTGAGTAATGAAGTCAAAAATCATTTTCACCGGAAGAGACCTAAGCATGCTTACTCAGTGCATCAGCAATAACACTCCAAGCTTCATTGCACAATGCTTCTGGATCACTTCCGATCACAGGCTTATGGATAAGAACTTTCACAGATCCCATATTCAAGATGCCTTCAGATCCTGCTGGCATAATGCTACCAGTTCCTACGAGTGTAATCGGTACAACAGGCACTTTCGTCTTTGCTGCAACACTGAATGCTCCTTTCTACAAATCAAACATTTTTAAAAAAATTAAAAAATAGATGCTATTTAATTAGAAAAAACTATGCATGCAAAAGGACACATGAACATAGGCTTTCTAGCCAATCATACAGTACAATTTTGCACCAAGCACTTTGAGACACAGCAAGCTTTCTAAAGAATTAAATATGGTCAACAACCGATACAAATAATTAAATAGAGAATTGCAGAGCAAGAAGACAATTAAAATAATGGAACCGTTTATTTCAATTCTCTAACTTGGGTATTATGAATGGAATTGATATTTCAAAGTCGAGTAAACCTCACTAAGTTTGTGAAAAAAGTATAGATTTCATACACATGTTTGTTTCTTCATAACCAAAAACCAACGCTACTGTCCCCCAATGCAATGTTTTGAAATATAATGTTCACTTACCTTGAAAGCACCTAATTTTCCATCTTTAGTACGTGTTCCCTCTGGAAAGAAAAATACAGATGCACCCTTCCTTATAAGCTCCATGCATCGCTTCAGACAGTCCTTCATTAAAAAAATAAAAAACTTGGAAATAATATCCAATAACATCGTTCTTAACCAAAAGGTCCCAAATTTTAAACAAATTTCATTTCAAATTTGTCTTCTAAGTAATAAACTGTGCAAAATCGAAATGGATAATCAAAGAAAGTACCAACTGGCTTCTGCTATCCATACGCTTCAAAGGAACGACACCCATCATAAACATAGCCCAACCAATAATGGGAAAGAGAAAGATTGCAGTCTTGCTAATGAACTTAAAGCTTCTGCCAAGGGTAAGAAGTGTATATATGTCAAGAAAGCTCTGATGGTTGGAAACATATACAGCAGGAGAATTTGGAGCGGGTAAATTCTCCAATCCTTCGTATTTGATCCTAAAAAATGGAGCAACAGTCAAACTTGCCCACATTTTGGCAATTGTATAATGAATTCTTCTGCGGTATCTATCCGTCAATAACACAATTGGATGCACCACCAGCATAAGCATAAAGAGAAAAATAGCAGTGATTGCAGTAGTAGCATAAAAGCACGTTCCTCTTATTTTTGAGCTCAACGGTACTTCTGCACTTTAGGCAGTTAAAAAGGAAAAAAAAAAAAAAAAGGAATTAGACATATAAGGTAACAGGTAAAAAGAAAAGGAAATGGGACAAGAAAGAAACAAAATCCATCCAAAAGAGACCTGATAATGGATAACCAACTTCATGAGTTCCCATTTTTGCAAGTTCTGACCTAACAATAATAGACCGGGGGTTTCTTTTTCCACTAAACAGGTTGTATGGATTCTCATTTGGAGTAAGATAACACGAAGAGACACCAACACATTTTCTGATGACGGATGAGTAGCAATAATGTTGAGCTGTAGATGAAGAGAAACGTCAAAGCCTAAGAACAAGATTTATGAAGCATTTCATTAAAATGTGTCAAAATAACATGCTTCTGCAGCTGAGGCAAAAAGAAGTGGCTCTTTCCTTAAACAAAAATTCATGCCAATGAATTATGATTCAAATATATCCAGAGTGTATTAAAACCCGGTGATATCCTGATGACAGTCAAGAAGTATAGAATCTCTTGCATGGTTGAAGAATTAGCAGGTGATCAAAATAAAACCTAAAAAATTGCAAATAGAATAAAAATAAATGAGCAACAATTTTTGCTCCCGTTTCTTTATCAACATGTCATCTCCTGACTTAATCATTAACTAGCCATGAAAAATTTGCACAAGGTCTAACACATTGCACTTCAGATGTAAGCACACTATATGCACAAATTTTGTTTTATAATCTCTACTTGTGTTATCTAGTCTAGGATGAAAAACCATTATACTTGGTGATGAAATGGTGGAGCGTGAATCAATTTACAATATTAGTTACAAATTTCTGTTGGCCTAGGCCAGCTACATGCTGCTAAAAGACCATTGCAAACAAGAAGGTAGCGGAAACTATCGAGAACTCAAAAAATATTCGGTTATAAAAGTTATTTGAGAGAATAAATTAACAAGTCTAAGATTTCTAAGCAAGAAATAACTTACCAGCTTTTCTCAAATTTGCTTGTTCATGGAGAGAGGAGCTATATTGAAGACCCCTAAACGCATTCATCTGCAGTTAAAATGGTAATTAACATTCTCATTAATCAAAATAAGTGAGTACTAAAGATGAAAAGCAACACAATGGAGCATCTCTCTCCTACCCCCTCTCTCTTCTCCATCCCATTCTTGTGACCTTCTTGCCCCTTCACCTTGACCCTTCACCATGCTTCTACAATCACCCTCTCCCTCTAAAACGGTTGCTACCATCCGTGCAGCCAAATGTACTATGGAGTGAGCATAGTTTGTGACAAAGTAATGATATAATTAAATTTAACATAACCCATCAGCTAAGACTTTTGAGTTTGGGCTGATTGGTGATTTAACATGATATGATTGCAAGAGATTCTATGTTCGAACCCTGTATAATGTCATTTCCTCCCAATTCACACACACACACACACATATTCTATTACAAATTATAATAAACTAGTTTTCTTTGTCTTACAATTACACTTCCATGACTTTCTACAAATGGGTCATTATTTGATTTCAGCTCATTATACTTTATTTTGGCTAATAAACCCAAAGTTCATGAAATTGGGGTCAAAACAATGAAGTTTGGGGCTTCTTATAAATATATTACTTATATATTATAACATTTAAGGTTTTGAGACTATGGTTAAGGATTAGGTTGAAGCTTTTTGTGTTTTGTTGATTATTTAGAAATTATGTTGGTAGAACATTATATTATATTTTTGTTTGTAAACATTATATTATATTTTTGTTTGTAAACATTATATTAGATTTTTGTTTGTAAACATTTTTTTAACAAAAATTATATTGTAAAATGAAAATTATGTATTAAAAACTTTCTTCGGAAGAATCATCATTTAGAAATATAATAGAAAAATGGAGAAAAATTTCCCGTGGGGCACCTAATCCATGCACATTTCCCATGGAGAATCTCCACTCTGATCCCATAAAAATAAATGGAGAATTTCACGGGAATGGAGAATAAAATAGGGGGTGGGGATGGAGATGAAAAGGCTTCCCCACCCCCGCCCCCATGGACATCTCTAAAACCATTAACAGAGAATCTCTTTAAGAAAAACTATGCAAGTGAAGAAATGCTTTGTTTAATAAAAGAGGGAAAGTAATCCATTCAAATGCAGTTTTTTCTAGTATTCCAATTTACTACCTTCATATCTTTAAACGTCTTTCAAAGACGACCAAAATATTGAAGAAGCTTAACATTGTAGAAAGGATCTAGAAATGAAGATGGTCGTAACCTTGTAAACTGGGCAATAAATTTTTAGCCATTCATGTAAAACAGGTCTTGATAAAGGTGGCCTCAAACACAGAAAACTTTCCCCTACTTCATATTTTTTGTTATCACAAGTATTCAAATTAGCTTAAATAAGATCAACAAAATAATTATACAACTCATTGGTAATCGAAGCCCATAGAGAAGTGTTAGATCTAGCCAAGTGTCAATCCTCTTCTCAAGATCTCTCAATCTTTCCAAATTCCTACTATTCCTTTCAAGTCATACTAAAAAGAAGGCCCTCAAAGGATCTACCCCTTATATTACACAAGGGCAGACCACGTGCCTCACTCAACTACATGCCAAGCAAGCCCAACTCTGAAGATACCATAGCAAATCAAACAAGCAAACTAACATCCTCAAACAATACGAACTAGAATGTCAACGGCATTCCTACACCATAGTGGGCATAACAAAAAAGTAGAATGCCTCTAATACGATCCAATAATTAACCCTCACAGGTAAAACCTGTCATGGGGACTTTCAGCTACCAAAGCAAGAAAAAAGGGATCTACGGGAAGAGGATCACGCAAGGGAAGAAAAAGAATTTACAAGAAAAAACCCACGGAGGATTGCTCGTCCTGGACCAACAAAAAAAAATCCCCTGGCAAAGAGAGAAGAGTGGAGACCTCTAGTATCTCCCTATCCAACAAGGAATATTGAAAGCCAAGAAAGGTTTGAGGAAAAATTACCAAAGCTGGGGAAGATGGAAGCCAAAATTATATCCCATGAAGGATAACTAATACAAACGTGGGAAGAAGATACACAAAGGACTATGATCCAGCCAATTATCCTCCCAAAAGTATTCACACTATTCCCAATAAAGCGGCATTAAGCTTATCCAACAAGGCCTTCTTACACAGTCTCACATTACTTATCCTCCCTGGTCCCACTGGCATCGACACTATTTTCCTAATAAACCAAATGCCAATCCCCGCCCTTGTCAACTTCTTCCCACGAAATGTCTCTCATAAACTTTTCTAGAGTTAAGCTAACTAAAACAGGGATCCTAGATATGGATAGCAAGTAAATCAGGATCCCACACGAGAAAAATTGGACGAAAAAAATGCTCTCCTTAGAGAAAAAAATGCTCTCTTCCAGGATGAAAGCCATTTTCTAATCTCTTCTGTAACAAGGCTCCACATGTCACACTTTTGGGATTAAGAGAGGAAGCCTCAAGTAAGCAAAAAAAAAAAAAAAAAAAGAAAACTATCCACCTCACAATTGATGAAAGACTAGAAAAGTCCAATCTAACATTATAGAATGATCACAGTTTATACCATTCTAGCAGGAAGATTTGCAGGATGTTAGTATCTGACATAGGTGGCCACCAAACATTTGAACTCATAACCCCATAGTGCCTTTATTTTTTAACTTTCCCCCTCATCAATAGGCCACCCAAAATCCATGCCAATTACATTTTCAATCTCCTAGCTAAACCGGGTTGAAAATTCATGATGAAAACATGTATTACGGAAGAAAATCATTACTAGTAAGTATCATTTAGCTTGTTGTGAATGGTTAGCATATCTTAAAGGCACTTTCAGTTTAAAAGGCCTTGGACATCTATTGTCAATAGTTGAAAGAAATGAAGAGTGGCTCGTAAAAAATGGTATATAATCTCTCAAGGTGATAAAATCTTCCTTTTTACGGAAGGATCATAGACTTCTTCTTAGGGTAAGAAACCAAAATTTTCATTGCAAAAAATGAAAGAATGTACAAGCGCATACAAAAAACAAGTCCACGTAAATTCATTTGGAAAGCTAAAGTCCTTAAAAAGAGAAAATTCTTCCTTCGGGCCTTTGCCCAAGACTGGTTATTTATTATGATAGAATTCAAAAATGCTTTCAAGCTTTGCTTTATTTTTCATCTGGTGGCGATGGCATCATGCCGAAAAGCTATAAGAGACCAAAACCATCTTTCTTCCCATTGCTCTTATGCAGTTATGAGTTGTAGAAATCGCTATCAACATTTGCTAGTGCTTCCCTAAGACAACCATTCAGCCCTCCTTCAATTTCTTTGTGAACAACTTAAGGCTCTCTAAATTCATTTGGTTCAACACCATCATGACTATAACTAACTAAGAAATTGAGGTTAAAAAATAATCAAAGATTTTTCTGTCAACTTGGTATTCTCTGCCAAAGGAGTTTTAAATTATGATTGTTAGTTTACAATACCAATTGGGATTTTTTTTTTTTTTTTTTCCTTATTCGTGTAAATCCCCCTGGATTTTGGGGAGATTCCTCATCTCCCGACTGCTTTATCTCTCTTTTTCTGAATAAAGTGTGTCCAGTTAAAAATTGTGCTAAACCCAAATAACACTTCATTCCGTAAAGTAACTCAAACACTCCCAAATGTTTGGGTTCAATGCTAGTAGATCCAACAGAGAAAACATATTTAGATCATGATTCTTATGTCCTTTATGGTTTAGACATTTATTTTTTATCCACATAAACGAGCAACACCAGAGCTCATCTTGCATCAGGTTAGCTACAATAAGCATTCGAGAGGACAGATCCCAACTTGATTCATGATTAAAATGTTGAGACACATATCAGGCCACCTACAATAATATTTTTCCTAACTCACCAGCTCAACAGAGTGCAGACTTAAAATCTTCCAACAGATATACACAAACAAACAAGTACAATCGAACAAAAGTGATAAACAGATTGACTAAAATGCTTACCGGCAGCAAAGAAGATGAAGCACTGTAAAGCCCAAGCTCATGGTAACCTAAAACATTTGATCCAATAGAATTGCATCGATTAGCAACACATAAACTTGCAAACAAACCGTACGTCGAAAACAAATAATAAAGAAACAGAAAATACCATAGCGATGAAGAGGAAGCGAAAAACCAGTGTGAGAAAGGGAAACGGCTTCCATGGAGAAAGCGCGAGAAAAGCTTTAGTAGAAGAATCGTATAAAAAAACAAAGCCGCTCTATTTCATTACAATTGCGTCTTAGCTTGGGGTGAGGATTAAGAAAAAGATAAACAACCAAATGATTCTAAAATCATGCGACTAAGACTGAAAGAAATTCAACCACCATAGCATAATTCAAACATAGTAGCAAACAAACACGAACACCTTATGCCCAGAAAGTAATTCAGGATGAAATGGTTTTGATTCGGATGGATGATTCAGAACAAAAAGTACGAAAACGTTGTTGACGACAAATTCAATATAGAATTGTTGATGGATGAATTGAATACCGAAAAATAGCGGATGATACAGAGGGGTAGGGCAAAAGCTTGTCTTCTTCTTTTTGCAGAAAGAACCGACGGGAGTGAGTGAGAAATATATTTACGTCGTTGTCAATGTTCTTTACCGATGTGGGATCTAGGGATGGGTTTCTTTCCTTAGATTCGATTTAATTTAAATATTTTAATAGAGTAATCCATTTTTTAAAAAAATAAAATTACTTTTAAAAATATTTAGATGGGCTCGATTTGGTTTTACTAATTTTAAACCAAATCAAAAATCGAATTGAATTTGAACCAAATCAATTCTCCGACCAAACCCAAAATTAGATTTGTTGGGTGGCTAATCTAATCCAAATCAACCCAAAAACAATATGCTTCATAAATGTATATATAAATCATAATTAATATAACGTATTCTTATATTAAATTATTTTATTTATATTATTTTATTTATATATTATAAATAATGTGTATTTAAAAAGTAAGATATATTAAGTTATTTTTTAAATATATATATAAAAAAAAACTCAAATCAAAAAAATAAAAAATAACAAATATTATAAAAAAAATTAAACAAAATAATTAAAAACAAAAAAACAAAAAATTATGGTAAGGTCTTAATGTATCTTATATATTTTTGTTTGGCTGGAGTCAATTCAAAAGTTTTGTTCCATAAACTCGAAATTGAATCGAATTAGTTCAAGTTTAGAAAAATAAACCCAACCCAACCCGGATTGTCAGGTTGAGTATACAGCTCTACGAATAACAAGTCTAATTGTGAAGAAAAATTGCATATCAAATCACTGCAACGATTCAGTTCATCTACGTGCAAAATTTGTAACAATCAACTTTAATAAGTAATCATTTAGTCTCAGTTGGCACCCAAAGAAGGTAGATGGTGAGATCTCACATGATCCCACGTTAGTTAAAGAGGGATATGGTTACATACTAACTTAAGGTTCATGCTCATTTGTGACTATTCTTTTTTCTTCAAGTTCTCGTGAGAGTACCATTAGAGATGAGGAAGGAAAAACACACCGTTCAAAGATTAAATTAAGTGAATTTCTTTGGTTATTCATATCAATTTTAGTCTCGGTTTAATTCAAGAACAATTTAAATATATTTTTTTTGTACGAAAGATTGAATTGAAATTAAAAACGGATTATTTAAAAGATGTCGTGTTTTGTGGCGTTTAAAACACGATAATTCTAAACTTAAAATATTTATTTCTACAAATGGGTTTAAATTAATTATTTGTACACATTTGGGCAGCCTCAATGTACTCTTTTTATTTTTTTATTTTTATTTTACTATAAAAATTTGAAAAATTGTTGTTTTCGTATTTATTTAAATATGTGGGGCCAAATTGTAAATAGCCATCCAAGTTGGGTAACTTCTCCATCACCCAACATTTGTTCAACAAATACAAACCCCAAGTTTCCAACTTGAATTATATTAAAGTATATTCAAAATTTGATGCTTATAAATACAAACTATGTCCATCCCATTTCTCTCACACCCATTTCCTTATATTTTTCAACCTTTACGATCCAATCCAAATGGGTCTCGTAAAGATTTCCTTGTCTCTCTTTTGTGTCTTCTGTATCACTATCCTTCCTTCGTCTCTCGCTCAAGACTCCCCTCAAGACTATGTTGATGCTCACAATATTGCTCGTTCCCAAGTGAGCGCGGTCCAAGTTGGCATCAAACCCATCCAGTGGGATGAAGAACTTGCAAACTATGCTACACAATATGCCAATGAACGTAGCAACGACTGTCAATTGTTGCACTCTAATGGGCCTTATGGCGAGAATCTTGCCGTGCATTCTAGTGAAATGACAGGCATTGAAGCAGTTCAAATGTGGGTGGATGAGCAACAATTCTACGATTATGCCTCCAACACCTGCACCGAAGGAAAAATGTGCGGCCACTACACTCAAGTGGTGTGGCAAAACACGACAAAAGTTGGATGTGCAAAAGTGAGGTGCAACAATGGCGGTAAATTCATCACCTGCAACTATGACCCACCTGGCAATGTCATTGGCGAGTGGCCATATTAAACGACCCTTCAATTTAAAGAATAAACTATAAAGCGTGCAAGTTTTATATTATGTTTATGACATCATTTTCACGTATTAATAAATAAAAATAATGCAGGATTGTTCGATCGATCTTGCTTTATCAAAGTTTATCATGTAATCTATTATTTTTAATAAAAAATTAAATATACACTATAGTTTCATTATCGTGGTTACTTTTAAATTTTAATCATTCCATTTTAAATTTTAAATGAGTTAGGATTTTATTGATAACAATATAAAAAAAAGATACCTAAAATATTTTTATAATATGAAAAAGTGAATGTGCTAAAAACATATTAAAGAGATAAGAAATAAGATTTATCTTAGGGACACAATTCATATGTAATTTAAATTTTATTTTATGTTTTTAAATTCATTGTATTTAATAAATCTAAAACTCAAACCTAGACGGAGGTTGTTTATTTGGTTATTTTAACCTTACTTAACTTTCAAGGAAATCGATCGGTTCAAGGTCTTAACTTATTGTATATATATATCTATATATATATATATATATATATATATATATTTTCATATTTTCTTAATTCATATTGAGCTTAATTTTCATATTAAAGTACAAACGATTCCTACAAATATTTCTTAAGAAAAATCTAAACGGGCTACTTACCTCGTCGTCGATGTTTGAGACCTCTATTCTCGAGATTTCGATATCCGAATTATTTCAATTTTTTTTACCGACTTCTAAAGTGTCTAGTTTCTGGAACCATAAATTTTTTTCATGAGAATTGGTCTGAAAAGGAGGTTAAAATTGAGAAAAACTGAGGGAGGGTAAGGTTTTAGGTTAATAGGACTAGTTAAGTTGAACGGACTCAATGACTTCAAAAAGACGGGTAACTTTTTCACAAAATAAAACATCTTAAACTTAAAACATCTCATTCATTATATTTATATTATATCAAAATAAAGTTTATACAAAGTATTTAAAACACTACACAACAGTTAAAGTACAAAATAAGGAATGACACAAGACATTTTAAAACAAAAGGGTTGAGGATGACGAGTGAGGTTTGTCTATGGTACTTGCTCCATATTCTGCTCCCGACCTCGACCAACTCCTTATTACCTGCGGAGAATAAGGAATGAGTACTAAGATTCAGTAAGCAACATACTTGTAGGCTCTTAATCGTGTCCTTGATGTGCTAGGGGTACCACACTCTTTCTTTTCTTGTTATTGCTTTTGTCGTAAGTACTTAGGCCATCTAGTTCTTGTTCTTGACTTGTGGGTTCTTATCATGTTCTATCTTGAGGATCTTGGTCCTTGGATTTTGAAACCTTGGTTATTCTCTACGGACCTTAGTACTATGGTTCTTTGTTCTTGTCCTTAGAACTTGGATCTTGATCCATGTTCTAGTCCTTGATCTTTCTCTTGTTCTTGGTTCTTTCTAGGTTCTTGTTTTGTTTCTTAATTCTTTATTTAAGACACTACCCTTAGGAGTTACCGTACTAGTCATAAACTTATCAAACTGTATCTGAGGCTTCATGCGTTCCAAGCGATATATTCTTAATACCTACACTCAAAGCTTCATGCATTTCAAGCAGCATAATCTAAGTCATGAGATGATGTACCATGGGAGGTTTTAGGAGGTCCTTGATTCTTGTCTAAGGTAATTGACTCTCTTATTATTCCATCGTGGCCATAGATTACTCCCCATGATAGACCATAAAGGTCACGTGATCAAAGCATGCATGATCATAGCATAGACCATAAAGGTCACCTGATCGATGCATGCATGAACATGACATAGACCATAAAGGTTACGTGATCGGTGCATGCATGAACATGGCATAGACCAAAAAGGTCATGTAATCAATGCATGCTTGAACATGGCATAGACCATAAAGGTTTAGTGATCAGTGCATGCATGAACATGGCATCCTGACAATCTTTAGATACCCAGAACATGGTGCAGGGCATTTCATCTAGGTGGGGGAAACATGAGACCAAACATGACATCCTGCAAGGGAAACATGGTGCAGGACATCCCACCTAGAAGAAGAAACATGGCCTCTAAAACCATTGCGTGGTGGGAGGTATGAGCCATAATTGGACATGCTTAGAGTATTACCTAGCATTCTTGAGTTCCCGAGTCTGAGGATCTTGGTCCCTCTTGGTCCCTTATCCTTGAGTGGTATCTAGCATTCTTCTTATCTCAATCTTCTAAGTTTCTAAGATTCATAATTCCTTGAGACATAAGTTGTCACATGCATTCCTAATCATATGTACCCATCATAATAACTAGTATGAGTTATTCTAGAAAGTCATAGATTCATAATGGATTCCTTAGAGGGTTCTAGAAGGTCATGAATCTTGAGGTGTTTCCTTTAAGCATTTCTTAAGTCCCATCTTGGTTTAGGTTCCAAACTTGCTCCAATCAACTTGAAATCTTGAACTTATTGTCATGTCATTTAGAATAGGCCTTACAAAAAATAGTTGGTAATTTGGAGTATGTATAGACCTTGAGCTAGGATATGACTACTTCTTTCATTTTCAGGAACTAAACCTTAGAGGTTTTCATGTCATGCATCGTATTTTAGCCTTGAAAACTTTTCCAAAGTTACCCTTAATTTTTTTCCCCATGAGTTCATAAGTGGCGTCTTGTGATGCAGGGCATCTCATTTAGGTGAGGGAAATAATAAGTCCATCTTGGCATCCTGCTCATGGTACATATAGTAGGGCATCCTACCTAAAGAGAAATAGAGGCCTTGTGGTACACTTCGTGATGGGAGATAATGGTAACTTCGGGCATGGATCCTACCAACTTGTTAAGCATGAA